TCCATCCCAGTTCATTGCCCACTAAATCCTCTCTAAATATGTGAAATAGACCTCAGAAGCTAGCTATCGTTACAAACTTTAGTCTCTGATGCTAGGAATCTGCCAGTTTATCGTAAATCTTGTTTGATTGAAGATTTCCTGAGGCTATTACTAAGCTAATATTTATTCTGTGCCTAAAAGAGGGGAAATGGTAAGACATAAGGCTGAAGAGATCAACCAGAATAAGATCCTGAAAAAGTATTTTATTCCCCCCAAAATGAGTTTGGATTTTGTCCTTTCAGTAATGAGAAACCTCTGAAAATTTTATCCGGGGTAATGATAACTAGCTTTGTCATTTCGGATGCACCTTGGCTGCTATAGAATGGTTGGGGAGAGGCTGGCTCCTTTGGTGGAGTGGACTCACACCTGAATGAGTTTGTTTCTAAACTCAATAGGTAAGTCCAGAAGCATTGAAGGTTGTCAGATATGCCTTGAAATCAACTGGGGAAGTACCAAGTTCGAGACCAACATACCATCTTTAAATAGATGTACAAGATAGGTAATTTTTCCTCCCCTTGTGATATGTCTGCCATATGTTTGGCTAAATGGCTGGTTAGCTTGCATTCAGGGGTTATATTGTAGTTTTCTGAAACTGTCTATTGCCAAGTCAATGAGAAGTTTACACAGGAAAGGAACACACAGGAACTCAGACCTATAGAGGAACCCAGCAGGTGCATCTGGCACGTCTCTAGTTGATTCTGGGGCAACCCTTCATGAAATTAAAATAGTTGGTGGAATTGCCTGTACTATCCAAGTAATTTTACCCTCTTTATTTTTTGCAGAACATGTTAATTATGCAAAAGTTAACATTAGTATAATACAGCACCGTCATGATCTATACAGAGATAGAGAGGAAGAAAGGTCAAAGTTTACATCAAGTTTTAGGGGAGGGAAAGTAATGGCATTTGGTCAATGATAGAGTTTGAAGGAGATGCAAATAATATCCAAGACATCAGGGTCGGAAACCAGAAAAATGCTGTGGTCATTTCTTTTACTAGAGACAACATTAGGAAATGTAAATTTGGGGAGAAGATTATTATTTCAATTTTAGTTTAGTTTAGATTTGAACAGTTAGTAGGATACACCAGTGTGTAGCTCTGGGTAAAGAGCTAAGTCGGAAGGGGGAGTTTGGAAGTCATCAACCTATATGATCAGAGTTTCTCAGCCTCGGTGCTACTGACATTCTGTACAAGGTAATTCTTTGTTGTGGGGAATTGCCCTGGGTGCCGTAGGGTGGTCAGTAGCATCACTGGCCTTTTCCCTCTGGATGCCTAGTGCGTCCACCAGTCATGGCAACCATGGCATTGTCATTTGTGCCTGGAGGGCCGAATTGCCCCTGATTGAGGGCGACTGGCATAAAAGATACAACAAGGCAGAGTTAGGTGGAAAATTCGTTGGGATAGAATTACATCGACATTTTTTTGGACAGGCAAAAGAAGAACCATGTTCAAAGTGCACTGAGGGGGTCTGCTCTACATAAAGGAGGGAAACCAGAGGAACATGAAATCTTAGAATCCTGAGGAGATAGTAATTCAAGAAAGGAGTGGTAAATTCTCTCAAAAGCTATAAACATAAAATAAGGTGAACACATTAGTTTTCTCTTGCTGCTGTAATAAATGACTGCAAACCTGGCAACTTAAAACAGCAAAAATGTGTTTTCTTATAGTTCTAAAGATCAGAAGTCTGACAAAGTTCTCAGTAAGCTAGTCAGCAGGAGTATGTTCCTTCCTGAAGTTTCTAGGGGAGAACCTGTCTCTTTGCTCTTTCAAGCTTTGGGGGGCTACCCACATTCCTCGGTTTGTGGCCCCCCTCTGTGAATCTCCAAGCTCAGCAATATCATACCTCTGTGACCCTTCATCCTTTATCAGATCTTGTACCTCTGTTTCTGACTGCAGCTGGGGATGCTTTTTTCATTTTAAGGATTCCTGTTGATTAGAATGAGCTCATCTGGACAATCAGGCTATTCTCCATTTTACCATGTTTAACTTAATTACATGTGCAAAGTCTCCTTTGACATGTGCTATAGTAGAGTCTCAGGTTCCAGGATCAGGACGTGGACATTTTGGTAGGGGGATTACTTTAACTCTCACAGTGGATCTATGGAAGACCTTTAGGTCAAACAACAAGCGAATCATGTTTGGCTTTGTTGAGGGCATTTCAGAAGAACGGTGGAAGAAGAAAGCGGATTGCAGTGGGTTGGAGTATGGAGCAACTGAGGCAGAAAAAACAGACTGTTGATTTTACTTGTCTTGTTCTAGGACAGTTTTAAAGGGAATTATGTTGCTTTTTGCTGTTATTTGTAAAGTTTCCCGTGCTCTGTCTTCCAAATAACTTTTATGTTAGTGGCTATTTCTTACAATCTTGATTTTACTAAGAAGTTTTATTTTTTTTAAATTTTTTTTAACGTTTATTTATTTTTGAGACAGAGAGAGACAGAGCATGAACGGGGGAGGGGCAGAGAGAGAGGGAGACACAGAATCTGAAACAGGCTCCGGGCTCTGAGCCATCAGCACAGAGCCCGACGCGGGGCTGGAACTCACGGACCATGAGATCATGACCTGAGCCGAAGTCGGACACTCAACCGACTGAGCCACCCAGGCGCCCTATTTTACTAAGAAGTTTTAAACTACTGAGTAACTTCTATTCAGATTTCTTTTTAAAACTATTAATGTGATCAGTTACATTAATAGCCTTTCTAATGACAAACTATCCTTCTATTACTAATACAAACCCAATCTGGTGTAAGTATCTTTTAAATATAATGCTGGATTCCATATACTTATGTTTTATTTAGAGATTTCCTATCGATGTTCATGAGAAAAGTAAACTTTAGCATTATGTTGTTAGGCATTTCAAGTTTTATATAAAGGACAAAATAAGCTCAAAAACCAGAAAATACAAAAATGATGGATTCTTCTTGTGTTTTTTGGAAGTTTAAATAAGATTAGCTTTTAGAATGTCTGATAGAATTCACCTTGACAATTGCATGTGCCTAATGCAGTAGGCACTAGATTCAATAGATATTCAATAGATTTTGTCTACTGATTCACTGCATTCATTTATTCTAGGTTAAATTGCAGAAACGGCTCAGTATTGGGAAATTGTATCTTGATAGTTATTTTCAACCAGATTTTTTTTTTTTTTTTTTTTTTTTAAATATTTGGGAAAGAGAGAGACAGAGAATGAACGGGGGAGGGGCAGAGAGAGAGGGAGACACAGAATCGGAAACAGGCTCCAGGCTCTGAGCCATCAGCCCAGAGCCTGACGCGGGGCTCGAACTCATGGACCGTGAGATCATGACCTGGCTGAAGTCGGACGCTTAACCGACTGCACCACCCAGGCGCCCCTCAACCAGATTTTTTAAAATGTTTATTTCTTTTTGAGAGACAGAGACAGAGTGCAAGTGGGGGAGGGGCAGAGTGCAAGGGAGACACAGAATCCCAAGCAGGTTCCAGGCTCTGAGCTGTCAGCACAGAGCCCGACGTGGGGCTCGAACTCGCAAGCTGTGACATCATGACTTGGGCTGAAGTCAGCCGCTTAACCAACTAAACCATCCAGGTGCCCCTCAACCAGATTTTCAAATTAATTGGTATGAAATTGATGAGGGTATCAACCTTAGTAACTTTTGTGTCTTTTGGTGAATTATGTAAGCATGCTCACCTTTGAATTCTTCCCTTTAATTGTACCTCCTTTCTTTTTTATTTTATTTATCAGTTTTATCACCATTATTTTGTATTTTATAGATTTTTCTAAAGAATCAGTTTTTGTTTTCCTCATCTATTTTCATATATTCTTTTTACTTTAGTCCATTTTTGCCCTTATCTTTATTTTTCTCATAGTCCCTTTTTCTTTTTTAAAGAATTTTTAAATTTTTTTTTTAATTTTTTTTTTCAACGTTTATTTATTTTTGGGAGAGAGGGAGGGAGACACAGAATCTGAAGCAGGCTCCAAGCTCTGAGCCATCAGCCCAGAGCCTGACGCGGGGCTCGAACTCACGGACCGTGAGATCGTGACCTGGCTGAAGTCGGACGCTCAACCGACTGCGCCACCCAGGCGCCCCTTAAATTTTTAATTCTTTTTGAATTACTTCAAATCTACTCTTTGCTCCCTGTTCTAAGCCAGTATTTTGTTCAAAATATCTATCAGACTATAAATATCTCCCAAAGAAAAGCTTTATCTGCATCTTACAAGTTTTTACCTATAGTAGTTTATTTTGTCTCAAAACATGTTCAATTTTCATTAAAATTTGTTTGTTTGTTTATTTATTTATTTACACATACATGTGTGACCATGGCTATTTAGAAGTATGCTGCTGGGGTGCCTGGGTGACTCAGTCAGTTAATTGTCCTACTTTGGCTCAGGTCATGATCTCAAGGTCCGTGAGTTTGGGGCCGCGTTGGATTCTTTGAGGACAGCTCAGAGCCTGGAGCCTGTTTCAGATTCTGTGTCTCCCTCTCTCTCTGCCCCTCCCCCGCTCATGCCCTGTCTCTCTGTCTCTGCAAAATGAATAAACCTTAAAAAAAATTTAGAAGTATGCTTCCAAATCTTCAAATGGATTTTTGTTTTTGTTTTTTTGTTACTGTTACTGTTTTGTTTTCTTTTTGTTACTGATTTCTAACTTAACAGATACAGAAAGCATAGTCTAGTATCTAAATCTTTCATATTTATATGGGCTCCCCCCCTTTTTTTTTAATTTTTATTTATTTATTTTTAAAAAAAATTTTTTTTCAACATTTATTTATTTTTTGGGACAGAGAGAGACAGAGCATGAACAGGGGAGGGTCAGAGAGAGAGGGAGACACAGAATCGGAAACAGGCTCCAGGCTCTGAGCCATCAGCCCAGAGCCCGACGCGGGGCTCGAACTCCCAGACCGCGAGATTGTGACCTGGCTGAAGTCGGACGCTTAACCGACTGCGCCACCCAGGCGCCCCTGGGCTCCCCCCTTTTTAAGTCATTTGCTTTGTAGAAGCAAAATGAATGGTAGGCTTGGATCATTATTGGAACATCTTTGAAATTAAAGTTTTGTTGTTGTTGTTGTTGGTTTGCTTTTGTTTTTTATAAGTGAGGTTAACCGGAAAGATGTAAAATGCTATTGGCCAGAGAGAGTAGAGTATGAGAGGGAAAAATGAGTAGTGTGCATTCCCTGGGGGCTGGGAGGTGACTACTCTCCCAAATATTGCTGAGCAGTGTGTCTTAGAAATAAGTAGACTTTATTGTCACAAGAGAGAATGAGCAAGGGTGTGTATGTAGAAAGCTTTGTTAACTGAGTGGTTGAAAAGTTACAGAATGCATCTGCACTGCCTGTGAAAAACACAGCAAAATTATTCTGTAATGGCGGGGATTGGTAGGAAGTTTGACAAAATTGAGAAATATGTAAAATACTCAGACATAGTCAGGAGCGCAAACTAGGGAAACATTAGAAGGGTTGATGGGCAATGTTAAGTAGCTAGAATAGTTCTTCATTAATTGATATCTATGTTAGTTTGAAGTAGCTCATGAGTAACTTTCCATAGACATTCACCCAAAATGCTTATTAAATATGGGGCATAACCTTCTTTCAAATCCTATTGAAACTGAAAGATATTCCATCACTTCCAGTTACAGGGTCTTTGGGGGCATATCCTTAACGCCCCACTCTGTGCTTATGTGAAGGAGGAAAACTTATTTTTCCTCTACCCTTTTTGGTATAACTGACCTAACATGAGTTTGCTCCTTGGTGAGTTCCAGTGAGAGACTACACCAGGTAGAGTTGTTCACAAAGTCATATTTATTTGCAGCAAATAAGGAGATCATATGGAATAACCTCCAAAGCCGTGACTCCCCAAGCAAGGGTGGATGGGTTCCTTTTATTTAGGGTTAGCATGACTATTTCAGAAGATCCTTGTCTTCGTATATAGAGGCGGGCATAAAGTCCTGTATGCGCCTTATGGAAACATGCCTACACACACATAGTATGTTATGTAAATGAGCCTTGTGCTCCTCGTTGGGTGGAGATTCTAGTATTATAATGAGGTAAAGGTAGCTGTCCATCATTCTAAAGGTTACTCCATGGTCCTTCTGCACAGGCATGAGTTGGGCTTTTGCTCAAACTGATTTGGGCGGTCTCAGCCGGCCGGAGGTCTTATAGAGCAGCCGTTATTGCTAGAGGGAGGGTTTTGCTTTCCATTTGCCTGAGGTAAGAGAGAAGCTGAAAAGAAGAGATTAAGGAAAAATAGGGGACAAAGATCAGTGAGTACATGCAGGTGGATAGTAAAGGTCAGGTCTTGGTGTCCAGCTCATGACCTAGGTTTTTGGCTGAGACCTCCCTGTAATGAAAAGCAGATTAACAGGAGAAAAAACAGAAGTTTAATATGTATAATTCCTGTATACTTGGGAGATACCCAGGAAGACTCTCAGAAATGGTCTGAGCCACCAACTTAAAAAACATCTATAGTTAAAAAAGAAAAGATGTTGGGGGGCGAGGGAGGCAGGGAAGAAGGCCACTTATAGAAGATTATCAGAAAACCACAGGAAACCAAGGTAAGGTTGTTATGCCAATTTTAGTCCAAATGTAGCCCAGTGATGAGTTTCTAGAGATTTGGAGACATCCTTCTCTGTCTGGTACAGAGAGGGAGACTCCCTTACAAATAGAGATTTTCCTTATCAATGTCAGTGTCTCTAAGGCAAGTAACTTTTTTTTTTTAATGTTTGTTTATTTTTGAGAGAGAGAGAGAGAGAGCAGGCAAGCAAGTGGGGGAGGGGCAGAGAGAGGAGGACAGAGGATCAGAAGCGGGCTCAGTGCTGATGGCAGGAAGCCTGGTCCCAGGCTTGAACCCACGAACCATGAGATAATGACCTGAGCTGAAGACGGGTCCTTAACTGACTGAGCCACCCAGGCACCCCTGGAAACGTAACTCCTACTGAGTTTTCAGAGCTTCACCTGTGTCTGCTGTTTCTTAAAAATAACCAGCTTAAAATAATCAATATGCTAAAGAGGTATGTGGAGGGGTGGTACATTTTCCTTCTTCACTTGGCACCATAAACATGTCACATCCTTTCTTCAAAGAGAATTCCATTCTGGAAATTGTTGAGCAGACCTTAGCTAATAGGCTATAGTTGCATTATATTCAGAAATGTTTAAGGCATTTCATTTCCAAGATTGAATTTAGAATTAAAATTTTTCATTTAGCCTGCATGTTACACAGGTCTCATTTTTGAAACTAAATGCTGACTGTTCCTAATTTAAAATCAGGGTTAGTCTCAGAGCTGTCCCAAATGGCAAATTCAGTTTGTGTTCACATAACTGTTTAGAGCTATAACTGCTTCAATTTGTGAATTTTTAAATTCTTTCTTTTTACCTTTTTCCTGGCATGCTCTCTTGTTGGCTCACTTGCTCTCTGTCTCTCCTTCTCTCTATATATTTATACTGATTAAACAGTATCCACTTATAAGCATATGTTACAACATCAATGATTTCCAACTAGAGGGCTGCTATCTTGGATTCTGTAAGTATTTCTGAATAACCACACTGCAGGGGAGGAAATTCTTTTCTTTCTTATCTTCTAGCGTCTTTGACTGATCTAACAATTAAATTGGCATTAGACACATTAACAGGAGTAACACAATTTAACTTCATTTGTATGGGAATCCCAAAGATACAAGACCCAAAGACAGGAAGTTGAGGTGTCTATGCCATCTTGAGCTAAGAAGGTGCTCAGGGTTTGGGACTTCAGAGTGAAGGAAGACAGTTCACCACAAAATGGAAAGAGCAAATGTTTGGCAAACACGTTTGCCATGCATGCAGATAAGTGTTTCTGATACAAAAATTTATCTCTGGTAACAGCTGTCTTCCCGGTATGGGACCCTATCCCAATTCTTTTAGGCACGTAAGGGGGAGGTAGAAAGCTCTCCTTTCTTGAGTCTGTTAGACTGACTTCAGCTCAGTTAATGCACATACCAAAGTGGCACATTCTGGGGCAGCCTGCCCTGAACCCCATCAAAAATATACAACGTAAATGGGGCGCCTGGGTGGCGCAGTCGGTTAAGCGTCCGACTTCAGCCAGGTCACGATCTCGCGGTCCGTGAGTTCGAGCCCCGCGTCAGGCTCTGGGCTGATGGCTCAGAACCTGGAGCCTGTTTCTGATTCTGTGTCTCCCTCTCTCTCTGCCCCTTCCCCATTCATGCTCTGTCTCTCTCTGTCCCCAAAATAAAAATAAACATTGAAAAAAATAAAAAAATATATACAACGTATTTTATTACACTAGGTCTCAAATTGTTTGTTTTGTCCATATTGACGATTTTCTTCTGTTGCTCTCACGATAGGTGGTTAAGAACCCATGCCTTGGGGCGCCTGGGTGGCGCAGTCGGTTAAGCGTCCGACTTCAGCCAGGTCACGATCTCGCGGTCCGTGAGTTCGAGCCCCGCGTCAGGCTCCGAGCCATCAGCCC